TTTTGTACAATATTGAAAGCTGATTTTTACATGAAACTCATTTTACTGATGTTATTTTTAACAAGTAACTAGAAAATGCACTGATATCGAAAAATAAAGCTTTCCGTTTTCTGTAACACTGATTAGTTCGATTTTTACCAAATCGACCTCTCTCTATGACCATTAGAGTTAGCGAAATGAAACTTAATATTTTCCGCTGAAAAGTGTAGGCACAAATTATGGATTGATCACTTTTTTCAATTTATGGATAGTTCTTGCGATTATGAGCATTAGCATTAAAACTTCGAACATCAATATTTCGAGAACGATAGCCCCTACAACTATCACTCTTTGATCAACCATTAGCATTCATAATTATGACTGCCAATCAACAATCGAATGGCTTGTACCTGAAATTGAATGTCCGCATTATTTGTTAGAAGCTAAGCAATTGCAAAGATTGAACACTATTGCTTACATTTCACTTTAAATGAATATATTGCAAGCTTAAAACAAACAAACAAGTGAGACTTTGAATCAATTATCAATCTCATCATTTAATTATTGTGTTCTTCGAGGTTTAGACACTGTTGTTCTGTAGGGAGATGAAAACTGAACGCATATGAGTGTTTCAAAATTTTCTCAGATGAACAATCGAATAACTTGTACCTGAAATTAAATGGTCACAATTAAACAGTTTGAAGCTAAATAATTGCAAAGATTGAACACTATTGTCCACATTTCACTTTAAATGAATATATTGCAAGCTTAAACCAAACAAACGAATGAGGCTTTAAATCAATTCTCAATTATCAATCTCATCATTAAACTATTGATTTCTTTCAAATTTAAACACTGCTAGCTTGTAGGGACATGAAAACTGAACGCATATCTGTGCTTCAAAATTTTCTCAGATGAACAGTGTTTGAGAAAATCGCGTTCGAAGTTAAAACTTTGATCGCTTTTTGTACGCTTGTTAAAGCTAATTTTTCCTTAAAACTCATTCTCTTGATGTAATTGCTGATTGGCAACCAGAAAATGCACTTAGACTGAGAAATAAAACTTTGCATTTTCTGTAAAAGGGATAAGTTCGATTTTCAATTAAACCGACCTTTCTCTGTGATCGTTAGTGTTAGAGAGATGAAACTTGAAATCGCACGACAAAAATTGTTTGTACAAACCATCCATTAGATCATTTTTTCTATTTATGGATAGTTCTCTTGATTTCCGCGATTGGCCTTAAAACTTTGAGGTTCGATATTTCGAGAATGGATGAGCCTACAATAATCATTCTTTCGAAAATCAGTAAATACAATTATGAGGTACGAAATGATATGACTGAAAGCTGCAGAAAACTGAGATGATTCTTTCAATAATCAATATTTTACTAATACAAAATAAGATTTGTGTTTGAGTAACCATTCAACTTTTAAATCAAGTGTTGAAACTTCAAGCATAAATAATACAATGCTACGGCTTCTTTGTATCATATTGAATGAAGAGATTTTGATATGGTGGTAAAATTTACTGATTGATCAAAGAGTGAGGATTGTAAGTTCTACCATTCTCGAAATTTCGACACTCAAAGTTTTAAGGCCAATCGCATAAATAAAGTGAACTGTCCATAAATAGAAAAAATAAATTAATGCATGGTGTTTACAAACAATTTTTATCGTCTTATTTCAAGTTTCATCTCTCTAACACTAACGATCACAGAAAAAGGTCGGTTTTACTCAGAATCGAACTTATCCGTTTTACAGAAAATGCAAAGTTTTATTTCACAGTCTAAGTACAGTTTCTGGTTGCCAATCAACAATTACATCAAGAGAATGAGTTTCGTGAAAAAATTAGCTTTAACAAGTGCACAAAAAGCGATCAAAGTTTCAACTTCGAATGCGATTTTCTCAAACACTGTTCATCCGAGAAAAATTTGAAGCACACATATGCGTTCAGTTTTCATGTCCCTACAAGATAACTATGTCTAAACTTCGAAGAAATGTATGGTTTAATATTGAGATTGAGAATTGAGAATTGATTCAAAGTCTCACTTGTTTGTTTAGCTTGCTATAAGCTTAATATATTCATTTAAAGTGAAATGAGTTCAATCTTTGCAATTGTTTAGCTCCAAACAAATAATGCGGACATCCAATTCCAGGTACAAGCTATTGGATTGTTAATTGACAATCATAATAATAAAAGCTAATGATTTCCGAAAGAATTGTGATTGCAGTTGCTACCATTCTCGAAATATTGACGCTAAAAGTTTTAAGACAAATGGCCAAAATCAAGAGAACTGTCCATAAATAGAAGAAAAGTATTTAATGCATGGTGTGTACAAACAATTTGTATCGTCTTGTTTCAAGTTTCATCTCTCCAACACTAACGATCACTGAATAAGGTCGCTTTAATTGAAAATCGAACTTATCTGTTTTACAGAAAATGCAAAGTTTTATTTCTCAAAATAAGTGCATTTTTTAGTTAACCAACAAAAATAACATCCGTAAAATGATTTTCATGCAAAAATCTGCTACCATAATTGAGCAAAATGCGGTCGAAGTTTCAACTTCGAACTCGATTATCTCAAAAACTGTCTATCGGAAAGATTTTTAGCTAGCGTCAAGTAGCTCAGTTTCTATGTTCCTACAAAGACCGGAGTCTAAATCTCAAGAAATTAGGCTTTACCCGCTTTTATTTCAATTTCGCATAAATGTTACAATTATGTTAACTTTGTCTAACAAGAAAGCTAAAGAGTTACAACAACAAACATTGCGATCGGTTAATTTAGTTTCTTTACAATTTCTAATTAAAAGACTTCATTAGCGACCTAAAATTTAAATGAGAAAAACATCTCAGAACCTCCAGATTTTCTTCAAAAATCGAATCGCTCGCAAGTAAACATTTGAATCAAATCAAATGCAAATCAAGATCTATTTAATATTGAAATGTAATTGCAAGTTGGACAATCTTTTTGACCATCATTACAATTCCTAATTAAAAGACATCTTCGTGATTGATCTGAAAATTTAAATCAGAAAAAATATAGTTCTTATCATCCTAATTCGTTGTTCGAAGGGTTATCACATGAGTATTCATTATCTAAGTCAGAGAAATCGAAATGTTTCCAGAGAAAATAATAGAGCGAAGAACTTATTTAGTGTTATTAACAATTTAGCATCTTTATTATCAATAGTTTACAGATCAAATTATTAAATGTATACAATAAATCAATTTGCTTTCTTCAATTTACAATTATTTTTCAAATATTTTATTGCCTTTATATAACGAATCATTCCGTTTTTGTTCTTCTTTGATAATTTGATTTTAAATTTGGATAGGCTGGGTTTCTATTACTTGTTGTGCTATATCTTGGATAGCCCATCTTATCTCGTCTTTGACGCTCTGACGATACTTGTCTAGCATAAAAATATAATTGTTCATCGACTATTTGATTTGCATTTTTCAATAGATCAATCAAATCCTTAGCCAATCTATAATCTTCTGGAGCAAAAAATGCATAGGATGTTCCTTTTTTATCCGATCGAGCCGTCCTACCAATGCGATGAACATAATCTTCTATTGTATTAGGCATATCATAATTAATGACAACAGTTATGTCATCGATATCAAGTCCTCTAGATGCAATATCAGTGCCAATTAGAATGGAGCGTTTTCCTTCTCGAAAAGCGTCAATTATCTGGCTACGAGATTGTTGAGCTCTATCAGAATGTATAGCCATAGAATAAAATCCTTGAGCATTTAAATATCTTTGCAAATAATCGGCTCCCTTTTTGGTCGATACGAAAATTAAAACTTTCTGATTTGGTAAATGTTTCGATCCGTCATCCAATTGCTCCATCAATTTAAGTAGCTTTGATGCTTTATCATTAGGAATAGGTTCAATAAGAATCACATGTTGCTTTATATTTGGATTTGCAGTCAACTTTGTAGAGCCAACATTAACTTGAATGTAGTTGTTCAACAGGTCAAGCGATAAATCACGAACTTCTTTAGGCCATGTAGCACTACAAAGTAGAGTTTGTCTATGGTAAGGAGGTTTAGGTGTACGATCGACGATACGCCTCATTTGTGCTTCGAATCCTAAGTCAAGCATTCTGTCTGCTTCATCCAGAACAAGGTAGGAGCAATCAGATAAATCAACATCTTTTTCATCAATTAAATCATTGAGCCTTCCTGGAGTAGATACCAAAATCTCAGGTCTTCGGGAAGCTAAGCTTTCTTTTTGAACTCGACGAGCTGCTCCACCATAAATACAGAGAGGAATATGCCAGGCGATTTCAACAAATACTTGATCTATTTGTTGTGCCAGTTCTCTCGTAGGAACGAGTATTATGGCTTTAGGTCCATTGTACTTTTTTCCTTTCGAAACAATTTTATCAATATTCACCAGACATGGTAACGCATATGCTAATGTTTTTCCAGAACCAGTTTGGGCAATTCCCACTAAATCTCGTTGACTTAAAGCTATGGGCCAACACTGAGCTTGGATTGGCGTAGGTTTTTGAATATTTTTCCTGATTAAATAGTCTTTAATTCTTTCAGGCCATTCAAATTCAAAGGCACTTTTCCATGGACTCGGGACATCTACACCTTCAACAATAATCTTTTGGTTGAAAATATTTGGCTGCCCGTCAAACTCATCACCAGCACATTTATCACTACCATTGGACTTATTAATTGGAGAATCAGGTGACCCAAATGATGAAACATTTCTAACAGCAATTAACTTCTCGTAAATTAAGGGACAATTATAAAAATGTTTAAATAAACTAGTTGATCTTATAAACATTGTTTAAAATATGTAAACATTGCTTGATCACATTGACAAACCAGGTGATTAACATGCTGTTAAGGGACCATTGAAAAATTTATATCGTTTGTCATTTCTGTTTCAGTGATTTTTAATGCCGATAAAATTCCCTCTCTCAATTATTCAGTGAATCAGTACCAATTTAGAGATGAGATTAGCCTTTAATCACGCTAATCTTCAAGATACATCCAAATAAGGTATTGGAGAAAGCTTGATTATGATAGTTTATTAATAATAATTACTTATATTTCACAAGATACATACAAAATAAATATAATTCAATGATTTCGAATTGAAATTTTCAATCAAAATCATACATCCAATTGGTCGCAACTAAAATAATCAGTCATATCAAGAGCAACCTCAGCACTTTGTCTAACAACTATTTTATCATCGTGTAAAAATTTTTCCAGAAAATCGATTGCGTCTTGGGTACCTATTGATCCTAAAGCTTCAGTGCATTCATGACGGGCAATCTCATGACAATCTTTAGAGGCGATAATTTCTTTTAAATAAGGAATTGAATCAGGATCGCACAGTTGACCGAAAATGTAGCCAATTTCATGCAAAAGTAAATCCATGTTTCTGTCATTTTTGTAATAACTCAGAGTTTTCCCAAGTGAATGAACACCATCACTATTAGCCATGTTTCTCAAGGAAAAAAGTGCTCTGTATTTATTATGTAGGCTTGATTTTTTATCCATTAAAATAGATTCCAATTCTTCCAGCGTTTTAGAATCGGCAAATTGTGGAGCAGGATCATGAGTTGAAAAACGTTCACAACGGACAGCTTTCAATTCGAATTCATCAACATTATCTTGCCATTTAATTTTATCGAGAGATAACAAACACGTTTGAGAGACAAGAATTGATTCATCATCAAGTTGATTTTGTAACACATTGAGAACCTTTTTTTTCATTTCAGCTTCACAAAGACAAGCAAGGTTGCCAAGAGCTTCACCACATTCATGACGAGTAATCGCATTTTGTTTGGTATCAACTAGGATATCAATCAAATAGGGAACAGCTTCGACCAAACCCATTTGTCCCAAACAGTAACCACATTCATGTTGCAATAAAACTGAATCATCTACCGTCATCGCTTGATTAATCCATTGAATGGTGTCGGGTGTTGCTAAATTTTTTAAAGTAAACAAGGCACGAAAACGCTTCTTCAAGGGCTCCTTTGAATCAATTAGAATTTTTCCAGCAGTTTGAAGTTGATTATCAATTGATGGCGACATTGTTAATAAAAATTATTAGCAAGAAAACAAATAAACTTCAATTAACCAAATGATACAAAATATTAACCTGTCACGTCAAAACACATGTTTTGGTTTAAATGTGAATCCACTGCCATCTATGAAAGAAAAATGCAACTATTAAAGTCAACAATTAGTTAATTGTTGTTAAATTGTCAAACTCGATAATAAGTCCACATACAATTAGAATGATTTTAAATGAAGAAATCAAAATTTATTAAAATTATAATCGCAAGATGAGACCTTAAAGGCACGATTCTCAAATAATTTAAGCAAGAAGCAAATTTTGTATTAATTTTATAATCTTCTGAATTCAAGCGATTTATTTCAATTTTATGCTGATTGAAGCATTATTAATTGATTGTATATTAAAACGAAAGATTATATGCCAAGCGCGAATTAATAACAAAATAAGATAATCTAATACAAAAATGCGTTTTCACTTTAAATCTCCATCGCAACGTAAACCGTTACCAAAACAAAAGCATGGCCAATCAATACTTATTTACAACATTGGACATAATTTTAATTACTCATCTTGCTTTTCCTCTACAAATCTTGTGTCATCGATATCTATATTAATTGTCAATGTCAATGTTTCCAATTTGTCTGAATGAATCGCCATTTTCTGTATGGAACATGATAAATATCATTGTTACATAAGGTGACAAATGGCTCCAAGTAATCCTTTACAAAATGGATTGTTAGTTTTATTTTTTAAACTCAATTTTTCTTATCTATTCTCATGATTATTACCAACGGATTTCAATTAATTTATTTTTTCCTTCATCAACATCATCTAAATCACCATCGTAATCATTACTTGGACCATAATCATCGTAATTATTTAATTTGAAAGTCTAATTTCTTATCTAGTGCTTCAACCACCTTTTGAATGAAAAAATTTTTCCCCTTTACTCGACGCAAGGGTCCATCTACGACTCGGATCCGAAATGATGCCAGCCGACACTCAATTGGCTCTCATTCAAGTGTTTCCAATAGATCATTAGTGATTCAATTGATTCGAGGTGCTTACAACATTGACTTAGCCAAGGTTGATCAAAGTTTCTCTAAGCTGCATAAAGCATGCTTTCTCAATTACGATATAAACAAGGTACCTATAACGCTTTTATACATTTATATTTACTTTCCATTATTTATTGTTCATGCTGAAATTAAATTTAAAGTGAATAAATAGCTTCCACTAATCAATTATTTTGCTTCCATTATATTTAATTTTACTCAATTCATAGATTAAAAAATATCTCAAGCAAGGAGCCAACCCTAACCAATTGGACAATGCGAGTCGATCTTCACCTCTCCATTTAGCCACCGTTAATGGAAACATTAATGCAATCAGACTTTTAATTGAGCATGGTGGGAACATTGATTTACCTGATGGAGACGGTAAAACTCCAGTAATCAAAGCAATTGAATGTTTCCACAAGGAATGCCTACAATTTTTAATACTTCAAGGATCAGATGTAAATATTTGTGATAATCAGCTGGGTAATACTGCTTTACACTGGTCAATTATCAACAATTTTGCCGATGGATTGAAAATTTTACTCGCATATTCACCCCGATTGGATATTAATAGGAAAAATAAAGCTGGAGAATCACCACTTCATCTTTTGGTTCGATGTCCAGATTTACATAGATGCGTGAATGATCTTTTGGACAAAGGAGCTGAAATTGACATACGTAATAACCAACAACGTACACCTCTTATGACTGCTTGTGAACATGGTCATTTAGATATTGCCCGAGCCTTGGTTAACCGAGGATCTTATATTTACCATCAAGATGAGGCTGGCTTTTCAGCTCTAGCAATTGCTAAAAGAAATGGTCACACCAGTTTGGTCCAATATCTTACTGATCTGGGAGGACTTGAATCACCAAGACGAACGTTACAGGTTGAAACTGATCCTAAAATGGTTGATGATTCTTGGCCATCAACCGAGGATGAAGATGAATTGGAAGAAGAGATTGCTGCTGCAAAGACACGTAAATTTGATCCTATTATACAGCAATTAAAATCTCTTCAAGGAGCGAAACAGGATGATAGATTGTTACAACCCAGTGGAACAAGTCAACTTGCAAGAGAGACTCATGTAAAATCCAGTATTAGTGGACAATCATTAGAAGAGACAAAATCTTTAGTTGGCCGGGAATCTAATCATGAAAGCAATTTAATGGGACCATTTAATACCCTTGAAAGTTTTACAAAGGTGCAAAAAGAAGATTCACTTTTTTCCAGTGAAGATAAAAGCTATGAAGATGAAGCCATTGAGTCTAGTAAAAAGATGAAAAGTTCATCACTTAAAAGCCAGGATAGTCGAGGAGTTGTCACTGCTGAACCAACCTTAGGTCATATTGATTCAGTTTATTCTCATGAGGCTTCCAATGATGAATTCATCAGAGAAATAAAGAACCTTTTGGATGAAGAGATTAGAGAAAATGATGAGTTGGATGCTTTACTTTTTGCAACCAGTGTTGATCCTGTTAGCAATAGTAAGGATAATAATAAAGTTAATGATACAAATGAGAGTGGAACTGATGTTGACCATTCAACAACTCATCATAACCAATCATCAACCAGTAAATTTGTGCATAAATCAGACTCCATTGAATCAAGTGCCTTAAAGAAACCATCATCCGATCCTGCCACATCAGCATCCAAACCAGTAAACTCAGAAGCATCAACATCAACTGTTGAGACAGAAAAGTTAAAATCAAAAGCTGGCCAGTCAAAAAATGTAATCCATGTTGATATTTTGTCTGATTTATGGGAAGATTGGGCGAAAAGTGATGAAACTGAAGAAGAATTGTCTCCAGTTAAAGCCTTTAATGGACTTACCAAGGATTTCTCTGATTCCAAAGAAACAGCTCAAAAGATCTTACCAAATGAGAAAGAAATATTGGGAACATTTTTTCTCAATGATATTTCTGATGAATCAAGTGAAGAAATTGAACCAGAAGATGATAAGGAGGAGGAAAAGAGGAGGAAAAGAGAAAAGAAAGCTAAAGAAGATGAGCAAGTTAAAAAAGAAAAATCTACTGAAGCAGGGAGGAAAAAATCATTGATTAAAGATGAAACCACTTCTTTTTCAAATGATGATCATCATGAACCTATTTCCTCTTCATTAACACCTAATGATAAAGAAGATTCAGCGAATCACTCAACAGATATGTCAACTAATTTGATGGCCAGTCAATCAAAGGTTATTTCCCCTCCTTTACCTCCACCTCCACCTTCACTTTCCCCGCCGCCAGCATACCTGTTACCACCGCCACCACCATCATTGCTATCAACGTCAACAATTTTACCATCAACAACATTACCACCAGCATTACCGCCAAGGCCTGGTACCAGTTTTAGCAAAGATTTATACAGACCCAGAGAGAAACCAATTGAACGGTCTTCTATTGAAGTGCAAACTGAATTGGACGAGGTGATGCCTCAATTAAAGGAGTTGCAGCGTCTTAAGGAGGAAAGTGAAAGTAAATTGAAACATCTTGAGATGGAAATGAAGAAACAATCTACAGATTTGGAAAGAGGCAGAAATAAATTGATAAAGGAGATGAATTTTATTGAGGAGGAAAAAAAGATGCTGGAAAGACGATTAGATGAGGTGATAGATTCTCGGGACCGATTGATTGAAGAAAAGAAAAGGTTAACCGAAAATGAAGAGAAGCTGAGAAAACAATTGAAATCCTTTGAGGAATGTAAATGTAACCAATTGAAAGAGGAGTTGAAAGAGTTTAAAGAGAAGGTAAAATCTAGAGGGAATTATAATAATGATGAATTTATTCGAAAGCTTCATGATCTGAATGATGAATGTAATGATTTGAGGAGAGAATTATCTGCAGAGCAAACAGCTCTTCGAGATGAGATAAGTCAACTCGAGAAGGATAAAGAAGTTTTCAAATTGGAGAATCAATGGTTGAAGGAAAAATTGGAAGAGATGAGAGACCAGATGAGGAGACATTTGTCCAGTCAAGATGATGGACAAAAATCAAACGGAAGGTTTGAAAGAAAACGAAGGAAAACTGTAAAAGGTGAAGAAAAAGAAGGAGAAGAAGATGAAGAAGATAAGACTCTTGAAGAGATGAGGAAAGTGATGGTGGCCATTGAATGTCTACTAACAAAATTGGATGACAAAATATCGGGATTAAATTTGGAGGAACAGAAAAAATTGATGGAAAAGATTATTATCGAGATTGCTAAAAGTCAGATTAACCAACAAGTTGAAAGCATGTTTAAAGGCATCAGATCTCTTTTGGAGGATCTTCATCAAGAATTGAACTCATTCCAATCGACAATCGAGAAACAAATGAATGGTGAAAATAAGGTAAATTGTTGATTCTCTCAAACACTCGGCAAACATTACCTTGCCTTGATTATTATCTGGCCAATTTTCACTTTCAAATCCTTATTAAGGCCAAAAAAATTAGCCTTGTCAGGGAAACACACAGGAAATTTCACCATCAATGCATGAAACTTGAAATTTCATCACAATTGTCGATGGTTTCATCACATTTCAAAACAATTTTTGAAGCCAACTCAATATTTTTGTCCTTTGCACTCGCTTTTCATTTTCATCTTTTCTATTTTTTTCTCATCTCTATTTTTACGCAATATACATGAGGAAATGAGCAAGACCTTCGGATGAAATGAGCTAAAAGATGAAAGTAATAAAGAAATGAGAAGTAGGATGAAGGATGAAAAAAATTGCCAAAGAATAAGCTGATGATGATGGAGTAACATTGCAGGATAAATTCACGGTCAGAAGAAAGAATAAACTTTGATTTCTTATTTTTCTTTCAACTGTAAGTTTCAATTGAATCGGAAATAAGAGTAAACTTCATCATCTTATTCTTTCCCTTTCCAAATCTCAATATAATGCATCTTTATGTACTCTGTAAGTTATTTCATCTTGAAACTTTGTCCTTCGAAAATGAAGAGTAGATGAAATCACAGGTTATTTTGATAATAGCTTACAATGATTGTTAAGAGAGAGACAAAAATCATCCAAATTGAACTAATATTTGCTTCATTTTGTTTTTACCTTTTCCAGTTTCTCTATCAGCTGGTTATTTCCTACTCACCAATCATCTTTCAATATTTTACTAACATTAATCTCTGTATTTTAACCTTTCCTTTTTACCTTTATCATTGTGACTTGATTTTTCAATTTAAGGCCCATTTTTAGGATTGTTATTATTTCCTCTATTAGCTTCATCAAAAACATCAAAATATAGTTGTTTTCATGTTTACCTCTTCACAGATTGATATTGACTCTATAACATTTTGATTCAAACTATCTAAGAGTTCACTTTTTTGTGTCTGTGTAAATAATTGTTCAACAAATTGTCCAATTTGTCCAGCTATTTGACTAATCTTTCTTTTCATTTCTTTGCACATTTTACAGAACCAATCAGATGATATTCAACTCAGAGATAGTAAAGACTCTTTATCAAATCAACAATTCCAGTCAAAAGCTGAAGATGCTTTGGTAGAGGAAAAATGTCAACCAAATAATGATTCAAATGGTTTGCCGACAAATAAAACAACTACCAATGGGTTTGCTGTTTTTGAATCAAGAATCTCACAGTTAACCTCTTCCATTGAAAAACTGGAAGACAATATTGAACGACAAGAGTTGAACATGTTGATTCGCGCTCGTGGACATATTTGGTCATCTTTTGATGAGGATACTGGACGTTGTGTTCAAGAAAATTCATTATTCATCAACATGTTCAATGGTGCTTCTAGGAAAATGTCCAACAGCAGACAAATTTACCCAAATAGGCCACAAAGTGGTTTCGTTCAAAGTTTAATGAAATTACAATCAACTGGTAAACCAAGTTACAGTAAATTGGTTAATCATCTGCATGCAAATTATGAACCTTCACTATTATTTGACTTTGACTATACTAAAAATAATCTATCGAAACAAATAGCCAATTTGAAAAGTGAATTGGGGTTAACCTGTTGAAATGATCATAAAACCAGTGAATCAATTCAAGAGATATATTTAATTTTTGCTAATCAATTTTTTTCATTATTTTCAAGTTAATTTAAGCATAAGAGTATAAATTTGTTATTTTTGCCTTTAACACGAGTCAATTATTTTATTACTAAATTGCAATCAATCTTAATTCAAGAGTTTCAAGTTCACAAAAAAATTCATTTTAATATCGCGATCTCTATATCATGACAAACACTTGATACAGTTAAAGCATTGACAACATGAAGACTAGATGAGACCTTATAAGCAGTAATGCTGTGTTAGTCCAGTGACATTTCTAGGGTACAACTAACACAATCAGGTGCGACAGTAAAAATCAAACTCTTCAAATGAAAATCAATTTATTTCAAAAACTGAAGAGGATAACAATTATGATCAATCTTTAATCGACTCTTAAATAACAAGAGGCTTTTCAAAAGGATACTGGTAAAGACGAAACAACTAAAGATATTGGTAGAGCGAGTAAAGGTCTCGAAACGGCTACTGGTTCAGATCCAAAGCCAATAGGCGAACATTTTAGCTGCTAATTAGTCAAATTCATGAAAATTCAAAAGTGCAGAGTGATTTAACTCATCAACTTACCGTCTTGAAAGTTTGAATTCGCCGTTTCCAAGAATGAAATACTCAAAGTTAATCGTTTTGGAAGAGCAAATTTAAGCTTACTAGTAATCTCTAGAAACAAAAAATCATTTTCA